CACCACCCGTCGTCCGAACCCCCAACACCTCCTCCACCTGATCCCACCCCATCCTCACCTTCTCGTCCTGGGCACTATCGTCCACAACATTCAACCTCAGCCTCCTCGCAGCCTCTCCCCAAAACTTCTCCCTTTCCCTCCTGGCAGGACTAGGCATATTCACCGCCAGCAGCGCAGCCTTCACATCCCCTTTCCAAACCCGCCTGCTAATCTCGGGATAAGCACTCTTCCTCTTTTGGTCTATCCTCTCCTCTGCCATGAAAATAGACGTCGCCACCAATCTTCGCGTGAGGGAGACGACCAACGAATAAAAATCCTCGAGCGCAGTAGCACGAATCCCCGGTTTTTGTCCCTTCTCCGGCAGAAAAGTGCGGTAGTTATAGTCTTCCACCCTCGAGTTCATAAACACCCGCTCCGAGAGCTTAAGCCAAGTCCGCAGACGAAAAAGGGGGTGGAAGAGCATTTTGGGGTCGGGATCACGTTCGATCTCTTCGATGTTTTGGGGGGTGATGAGCCAGTGTGCTGGGCCCCATTTGTTAGATTCGAGGGTTCGTTCGTGGGTGAGTTGTTTTGTTGCTACAGCGTCGGAGGCGTCTTCGAGGGCTAGGCAGAGGGCTGGGGAGAGTTCTACTGCGGAAGGGATGTCGGATACGGGGATTGGGTCTGAACCACCGGCCGAAGATTTGAGGAGGGAGATGTAGGCTGAGACTTCGAGTTCGGATTTTGTTTTGAGGCGTTGGGATATGGCGAGGGGGTTGGAGGGGCCGAGGCGGGAGAGGGATTCGAAGAGGAGGATCTTTTCGGTTTCGGTCCAGTATGCGAGGCCGTGTTGGGAGTCGGATAGGGGGGGGAAGGAGGGGGGTGGTGGGAGGAATTTGGTGGAGGTGGAGACGATGTCTTCGTTCAGGAGGTCGAGGTAGGCGAGGGCGGAAGGGGGGTGGTGGTTTGCCGCGTTTGACAGGGCGGGGGGAGGTGGTGCTGAGAGAACGTTTTTCTGGTTTGGATTGGGGTGGTTGCTCCGCGGGTAGGTCGTAGTCTGGCGGTGAATCGATGTCATTTTCGTCATCCGAACTAGGCCGGGCAGTGTACTCGGAGGAGGCATCTGACGGGGCATATTCTCGCTCTTCCGCATCATCAAACTCGTTGAGCTCGGGCTCCTCCCGCTCGCAGTCGGAACCTAGAATCTCCGGATCGATAAGTGCTGGGTCTACCCCCGAAGATCGGATTGGCATAGATATCCGGCGGGAGCGTGGTCCAGTGTTGGGACTTTGGCCGTCTGACCCGTCGTCGATGTCCATGTTAACTTGAGGAGACCGTTCGTTTTGAGTGATGAGCAGTGACTTTAGTTCCTCGATCAATTCTGTAATTGATGTTAGCATTACCTTTGATAGGTGGTGTATGAGATGATAACTCACTGATACAGATAAAATCGATCAGGTCGCCTGAAAACATGAGTTTGTTGATGTATTGGTGAGGAAAACTCGGTCGAAACTCAAATCTCATCGGTGATGCTGCAGCTGTTACAGTGAAGCGTTAGTGAGGTGCGTACTGCAATCCCAGGCGGTCCGCCCACTGAAGAAAATTGACCAATCACACAGCCGCACAGCAGCCCCCAGCTGCAACTTTCACCTCACCAGCTGTCAATCTCAAACATCAACGACCTCTTTTCATGAAAAGACGACTTACACACCCACCGTCCATGAGATTTAGTCACTCACTCACTCACTCTAGCTCACCATAGCCATGATGAAGCGGCTCATCAAAACCGCCCTCCGTCTCAAAGAATCCCCCAAAGACCCAACCACCTCCTTCCAACTCTGGCCCTCACGCCCCTTCACCACAACCACCACCCGCCTCTCACAAGAATCACCACCAACCCCCATCCAACTCCGCGCCTACCAAGAAGAATGCATCCAAGCAGTCCTGACCTCCATAACCCAAGGCCACAAACGCCTCGGCATCTCCCTCGCCACCGGCGCCGGCAAAACAGTCATCTTCACCCACCTCATCGACCGCGTCACACCCCCAAACCCCCAAGCAACCCGCACCCTCATCCTCGCCCACAGGCGAGAACTAGTCGAGCAAGCCGCCCGCCACTGCCAGTCAGCCTACCCAAACAAGACCGTCGAAGTCGAGCTCGGAAACCTCCAAGCAACCGGCTTTGCCGACATCACCGTCGCCAGCATGCAATCCATCCTGTCCAAAGACCGTCTCCTGAAGTTCGACCCCTCAAACTACAAACTTGTCCTCGTCGATGAAGCACACCACATCGTCGCCCCAGGCTATCTCAAGATCTTGGAGCACATGAACCTCCGGCAAAAACAACCCGACTCCCCCACCCTGGTCGGCGTATCAGCCACCTTTTCCCGCTCAGACGGCCTAAAACTAGGAGCGGCCATCGACGAGATCGTCTACCACAAGGATTACATCGACATGATTGCGGACAAGTGGCTTTCCGAAGTCGTCTTCACCACCGTCGAGTCCAGAGCCGACCTCTCCGGCGTCCGAGCCAAGGGTGCGGGTGGGACAGGCGAGTTCGAAACCGCCTCGTTGTCAAGAGCCGTCAACTCCCCCGAGCTAAACGACATTGTCGTTCGAGCCTGGTTTGCAAAAGCCGCACCACCAAAGAGACAGTCCACGCTGGTCTTTTGCGTTGATCTGAGCCATGTGGCGGCTTTGACGGAACGGTTTCGGCATCACGGGATTGATGCCAGGTATGTATTCGGCGACACCCCGGCCAAGGAGCGGGCGGAAACGCTGGAGAAGTTCAAGAAAAAGGAGTTTCCTGTCTTGCTTAACTGTGGTGTTTTTACCGAGGGGACGGATATTCCCAATATTGACTGCGTCGTGTTGGCCAGGCCGACGAGGTCGAGGAATTTGCTGATACAGATGATCGGACGGGGGATGAGGCTGCATGAGGGGAAGGAGAATTGTCATGTTATTGACATGGTGGCGAGTTTGGACGTGGGGATCATCACCACGCCGACGCTGTTTGGGCTGGATCCGGATGAGTTGGTTGCGGAGAAGACGGGAGGGGAACTTCTCGCTTTGGCGAGAGAGGGGGGAGAGAAGAAGGAGACGGCGGAGGGGAGGGAGAAGAGGATGTCGAAGGCTGCCAAGAAGGCGCGTCCGACGGGAGAGAGCTACAAGGTGGCGTTTACCGAGTATGATTCTGTTTTTGACCTGATCTCGGATGCGGCGGGGGAGAAGCATATTAGGGCTATTAGTCAGAATGCGTGGGTGCAGGTGAATCCGAACAAGTACGTTTTGAGCACGGATAGGGATGTGATGCGGTTGGAGAAGGAGGTGGCTGTACCCCCACGCGGGAAAGATGGAGAGGAGGAGGGAGAGAGGAAGACGATGTGGAAGGGATATGTGATGAGGGCGCTCTCGAATGGGAAGTCACCGTGGGCGGCGCCGAGGGAGATATTAAGGACGATGGATTTTAGGGATGCGGTGCATGGGTGTGATAGGTTTGTGGCGGAATTTTATGCGCCGTTTTATATCTCGCAGAGGATGCCGTGGAGGAAGGCACCGGCGTCGGAGGGGCAGCTGAGATTTTTGAATAAGCTGAGGTCGAAGCTGGTTCCGCTTGAGCCGGGGGATATCACGAGGGGGAAGGCGGCGGATATGATCACCAAAATTAAGCACGGTGCCAGGGGGAGGTTTGCGGAGTTGGAGACGGAGAGGAAGAGGAGGGAGAAGATTAGTATGTATGCTGAGATGGAGATGCAGAGGAGGGAGATGGAGAAGGTGTCGGTTGGGCCGGTGACGTCTTGAGATATTTCGTCTTGGAGCTGTTGGAATGTGACGTAGTAGGAGGATTTGAATGAGCGATACCCAGATTCACATATAAAAAGAGCTTGATCTTACGACGAGATGTATTTTATATCGCTGTACTCAGAACGCCTGTTTTCGATGTTGTTACAGCAACATCGATTTTGTTTACTTGCCCCTTTTCAGCTTTAAGCCCCACACCGCAAAACACTCACCCTTTACTCAAGTTATATGCTCAGGTACGATCAGGAAGGCCAAAAAAAAAAACCGAGTCTCTCCCGCCTGTTGTTGGGGTCCGTTTGGCAGATTGGGTATGTTGATGGCAGGCTTGACCGAAGGAACGGGCGGGACCGAGGCCGGGAGACGGGAACGGTCGGAATATGTTGTCGGAATGTTGGCTTTGAGGATAGACTAAGAGCTGATCGTTCAGGGGAAGGTGAGACAGCGTGGTACACCGGATCAGTGGGCGGGCCTTGCTTTCCACCGGCTGGGTAGCGATCGTGCCCTTTAGACCAGACGTAATTATGATCAGAAAGACTGTTGTTGTTGGTGGTGAGATTGGTGAATGGTGTCTTGGTCTTGGTCTTGGTCGAGTCTTCGTCGAAGGTAGAGTGACTTTGCGATCGACTCTGACTTTCTTCGCTCGAGATTTTTGACGGACAGATTATGGACTTGTATAGTCTAGGAAGTCGACTTGGATTCTTCTTGGCGGTTTGATGGGTAATGGGTGTATTTTGGTGACTTGATCTTTTCAGCTCAAGCAGTAGATGGACTTCTATCTAGCATGGAAGAAAGAGAAGGTATCACTTTGTAAAAGAATAACAATCATGATGAGTATCGAGGGGACAGGTCCATCTCTGATATCTATATGCTTCTTACGACCTCGCTGCTATGGAGACTTGTGCTCTTATCTGGAGCAACTGACCATATCACCAACAAGCTGCTCTCCGACTTGCTCTCGTGCCTTCCCATTTTTGACGGTTAGAGATGAAATGGCGCCGAAGAACGTATCGGTCACCCGCCGATCCGATCCATTGTCATCTGAATTGAAGAGTTTTGCAAGACCCCGTCCCATTCACCTGGCAAGACTGTCCACCCAGATGCTCCAGTCCCTACATATAACGTACCCTTGGCTTTCCCGTACGCCAACAAAACCTTCCCCTCGACATCAAACAAGACTTCACACCCATCAAACATCAACAACAATGGACTCTCCCACCCGCACCCGCACCCGCAGGCGCTCTAACACCAGCGCTCATCCCCCGACCACAGCCACCGATATTTCACTCGCCACCGCGACCAACTCTCTCAGAATCACACCCTCAGCCCCCCCTCCTAACATCCCACCCAACAACCCACAGCCCACCACCGCACCCCCGGACTCACCCGCCACAACAGCCGCCACAACAGCCGCCATAAGAGCCGGCATCTCTCCCGGAGGGCACATCCCCGGCTCCACCCCCTCCCTAATCCACCACTACCGCAACATCCCCATGCACACCCCCGCCCGTGGTGTCTTCCCCATCTCCCTCACAAGCTGGCAACAATACCCCCCTCCACCCCTAAGCAACTACGACACACCAAACTACCCCTTCTGGAACCCGGCCCAGCCCAAACCCCGCGAGGAAGCCCCATCTCTAGGCCCAGAGCTGGAGAGGTCGATCGGTGAGCGGGAGAGACAAACGGGGCAGTTTGGTGCTGAGCAGTATCGGATGAGGGAGGAGATTTTGGCCATGGAGGAGAGGATTAGGGGGAAGCAGCAGGCGCTGGAGCAGGTTAGGAGGAATAAGATGGAGTTGAGGTTTGATAGGACAAAGGACAACCAGGGGGTGGCGGTGGAGATGGAGCATTTGGTTTTTGTGGAGAGGGAGTTACTGGGGGAGTTGGAGGTTTTGGGTAGGGAGAGGGAGGGGATGGGGAGGCGGGGGAGGGAGGTGCCGCAGGGCTGGTTGAAGGGGCGGATAAGAGGTACAAGGGGTATTAGATGGGATTGGAATAGGGAGGCCGATACCCTAGCTTGCACATCTGGTGGTTTTGGCGGGCTAGGGGGTTTTCTTTTGTACTCTTGCATTTTAGAGGCGTTTTAGATGGCAAGATACCCCGAGCATGGCGCAGTGGTCTTTGGGAAGAGGGCCCCTTTTGTTGTCTCCCTGCTGAGACAAGCCAGCGAGGGTAGTCTCGTCTCTCTAATTGAGTTGTCTGTTACCTATGGTTGGCTTTGCTTGGTGTGTGAGGGAGTGGTTAGTTGGGGTACCAAAGTGGGGGGGCATGTTGTTTAGGGGTGTGGAAGCGGTGGTTTTGGCATCCCTCCCCGGGTACCTGGTCAGATTTTGCTTTTGTTGTTTGAGAGTTGGGCAG